ATTTCCACAGTGTCATCGCTCTCAAAGCAGCTCTCTGTGGAGTACCCATTGTATGTGGTCTGCAGCTGCAGCAACTGTTTTAACTCTTCTCTTTTGGTTCAGCTCGTGGGCTCCTCTTTTCGCACTCTCTCTCTCTCTCTCTCTCTCTCTCTCTCTCTCTCTCTCTCTCTCTCAATTAACTGTGTTCTCTGTCTGCCTCAGAGCCCCTAAAACACTTTCCCAGCTCACTCCACTCTAAGTCTTTGCACCCATTCTTTCTGTGTTTTTAAGTCTCCCTCCCGCCCACCGACCCCCAGCTACTCTTTCCCTTTCGTCCCTTTTATTCTCATGAAGTTTGCATTCCACACCTCCTCTGCAGACTGCACACAAAGGAGCAGAAAGCGCCACTCCTGACCTGTGGCAAACATTCCAGTCCTCTGGGCCCTTTCACACAGCCAGCGTCCCTTATCCTTCCAGTAGCATCAACCAGAATCTGCCTCTTATCCAATGGAAAGTCAGTATGATGAGGAATATTACTGTGGAAAAAAAAGAAAAGAAAATCATGCAATAAATGATATATTTCAAATATAAAATGCAGTGTATACATTCGCTTATTTCAACAAATAGTTTGATGTGCATTGTACATATAGAACAGGATCTCTGCCTAATCACACAATCCATCTTTAATTATGATGAGTGAAAACAGACATCAGCTTTGTAAAGTCAGCTGGGAAAATAGCGAAGGTTCCAGAGCATCTGCTCGTGTATCCTTACAGTCAGTACACAGGAAATTGACTTTTAAACTATAAAAGTATGTTAAGAGAAAATGGGGGTGTCATTTGTTATGACTAGGACTTTGATAAAGAGGTTACGGACGGGTGATTGGGGCTCAGAGCACAGCTGGAGTAAGCACGGAGGTGTCAGAGGAATCAGGTGAGAATTCTGACGAAGGATGTTAAAAAACTGATTGCTACAAGAGGGTTAAATAATGTAGGTAAAGAGGTTCAGATGTGAAGCAAAGAAAGTGAAGAGGGGAAAGTTTGAGGTGAAAGAGGATTTACAACGAGACATTTAAAGCAGAGAAGGCACGTGGCATAGGAAAGCATGTATGGGCTTGTGTTATCCCCTCCTCTTTGTCTCTTTCCTCACTCCTTCTGTCTTAGTGCCTTAATCTTCTGAAATTCCACAGCTATAGCTTGGAGGCTGGTAGACATCAGTGGCTGCCCGGCACCCCTCCTCATCTCTATCCACACCTGTCCACTTTCTCCGGAGGCACAAGGGAAAGCATGCCAGGAACGGCCATGACCTTACTCCTGCAGCTCACTCCGGCCCTTTAAACACCACATCCACCTGTGGACAGCTTTAAGATTTGTCTCTACTGAGTTTTCTGACTTTTAGCACTTTCTTGTACTGTGACATGACATTAGGGGTCAAATAATTTTAAAACTGACTTCAGGTGAATAATTTGGCAGCAAAATAGTCTTAGGGTTATTCTTTAATTGTTGGGTCAGTGTTAGTGGGCTCGTCTGGGTCAAAGGTTCATGGTCATTTTTCACTCTCTGTCCGTCCCTGCTCATTACATTTGCTCAGATCACCACCTGTTGCTCTGCCATAAAAATCCAAAAGGTGACATGCACTAATGGATTTGTGCACTCACAATAACAGGCTCTTTTCGTATATCATTTATATTTGCTGTGTCTATTCTATTGCTATTCTACCTATTCTGCTTTTACACTCCGTTGTAGGTTACTCCAAGATTGTCAGCCAAATGCCTAAAATCTGAAATGCAGCTGAATATATAAATATATAAACTGAAATGTCACTGCAGCGCATGTTGTTTTGCACACTGTCATCTTGGATTTAAAGCTGCTTTATCTGACAATGCAAATTATACTTTTTATTATCTCATTGTAAACCTCTGCTTTCTGGTGAGAGAAATGGGTCATAGCTTTGGGATGTTCTCAATAAGCAGACATCAGCTTTGTGAGACAGCAAGAGGAAATTGGGCCCGAACTCTATATAAGCTGACAGTCTGCTCTCTGATGTCAGCATTACAGGCAGTTTATCATAAACGGTGATGATTGAAGATTTTTCACGATGTATTCTCATATGTTAAGAAATACGCGTCACATGCTTGAGCTTGACTAAACCTGTCCTTGCACCATAAGCATACTGGCTGACCCTAAATGGATCAGGCAAGGACTCCACTCATTGTTAAAATATGTCTTCCCTTTGGGAGAATCCCTTCAAAGTTATGACAGAAATGAATAGCTGCCCTTGATGATGCCTGTAGTAACCTCAGTTTACCCTGGGAGGAGACAAACAGGCCACAAATCTCAGGAACCCGTTCCTCTCCTCACACACTGTTCCCTCTGCTGGTATCTCTGTATGTGAGTGTCCTCTGTTTTCACCTTTGCTTTTGTCTTGTCCTTATAGTGACCTAAATGCTTTACAATGTGGTACACGTGCTAAAATGGGGATGGGGTTAAAAAGGTTAACCAGGGGGGAGCACTGCAACAGGGGGACCTATAGTCATCACTGTGCATCTGCTTGCAATAGGTTTTAAAGGTCCAGTGTGGAGGATTTACGGGGATACAAATAAGCAGAAATGTAATACAACATTTATAACTATATTTTTATAAGTGTATGATCACCTGAAAATTTGAATGGTTGTGTTTTTGTTACCCTATAAGCCATTTATATCTACATGCAGAGCGAGTCCTCTTACATGGAGTTCACAATGTTGTCCTACAGTAGCCAAGAATGAAGAAACCAAACACTGGCTCTAGATGGAACCATTCATGTTTTACTATTGGTCACTGTAGCTCTCCATGCCTGGCACATGGGAGAAGTTTCAGTTGATTGCAATCTGTGATCTCGCCACTAGATGCCACTAAATCCTTTAAGCCAGACCTTCAAAGCAGGGGTGTAAAACATACAGCTTGCAGGCCAGAACAGACCCGCCAAAGGGTCCAGTCCATCCCAATAGATGACTTTGCACACCTAATATTGATTCACCTGTGAAGGCTTAGAGGTGCCAGGTTTCAAGAGCAAGCTAAGCAGTGAGTAGCTTTTTTCATAATGCTGCTTCAGAGGCTTGCACCCTGACCAGAGTACAGTTCTCTGAAGAAAAAAAAAAGACTATGTCTTGTGGTCACATTTGGATACTGAACATTGTGCAAAATATTGTGACTCAGCAGCTTCAGTACAAAAGCATCTGTATAAAACTTCCATCTTAAAACAATAGTGGTGAAACCACAGCGCTATAGCACTGCCAAAAAATTGGATTTGTGAATGGTTTGTAAGGCAGGGGATAAATTAACCTGGTTCCTCAGCAACTTCCACTTTAGTACACTGGAGTGGAAATGAAATATGCACATGTAATGACAGTGAATAGTAGACTGACCGAATGTGTACAAACTGAGACATACTGTAGAAATTACAGGGGGTTTTTTTTCTTAATGAGACATCTCAGGCTGTTTATCATCTGTTTTGTTTTAAGAATGTAGCCTACTTGTTGTTGTTTACACAACAAGAAAGGGACAAATTTGGAGGTGTTGTTATTTATTGGTTATTATGCAGTGGTTTTACCAGTCAGGCCCACTTGAGATCAAACTGGGCTGTATTCGTCCCATGAATTAAAATGATTTTGACAGCCCATTTTTAAAGTGAAGAAATGTTTTGTGTCAGAAAATAAGCGTAATGTTATTTTAATTGCTTGAGTGGAAAAAATAATAAGCAACAAAAACACACCTTAACTCCTTTTTCCCTGTGTGGAGCTACTTTTTTGCCACATGTATCAGACTTATTATTATATTTACTAGTTATTACGAAATGTTTAATACTTCTTTACTCCGTCCACATAAAGAACAAGAGTAAATCCCAGTTCAATCCACTTCTTAAAAAACAGAAGAAACTGAGCTTAATATATTATTATTTCATGAATGCATTAAATACATTTAAAATATTTTAAAGCATTAAGAATTTATGTCTGTTTTTAATTAAGGGAACAAGCACTTTGTGAATCTGCCAAGCAAAAACAGTTTAAGGTGGTTATTATATCACTCCAGATTGCTCTTTGGACTGTCCACTCATCCCCGCATGAGGGTAACGTTAGAGTAAATGGACAACTTACAGTTTGCATGTGGTTGCATCACATGTAGCAACAGGGCCCAAACAGGCAGACTCTGACTCTTGCACTCTGGCCCTTCATCAAAGCAAAAGAGTCTGGTTTGTGATCTTATCAACGGCACTTTGACCCCTTACAACATCCATCACGAGTAGGGTACACCAGTCCCTTTAACTGACCCTTGCTTATAACATCAGTGTCAAACCAAACTGAGACATGGCTTATAAACAAACTCAGAGCATTCGTTATAGTTAGTTAATATTTAGATAACAGTAATGCAATTAGGATTATTTTTAATCAGGCATTATATGCATTCAGTAAGCTTGAATGCTTCTTAGGTGTGCTGCACCGATCCTCACCACCAGATGGCAGTACAATGCAGCGCATTCAGTTACTATAAGCACTACCTTCCAAACGTAAGGTAATCAAGGGAGGACTAGTTTTATTAAGAAGTCAACTAGAGCCAAACAACAAGCGCCTAATTTAGCTTTAACTATAGCTTGGGTAACAGCAAAAAACATAATAATCATAATAATAATAATAATAATTGTTATGAAATTAAATGCACAACCCAAATATTTATCTCTTTAAAAAAAAGTGAGAAAAAACGTAATTAACTAATCTAATTTTGTTTAATTTAATTATAAAAAAAATAAAAGAAAAACAGTTGGAAAAGCTACTGTAACATATACCGTGGTAAAACGTCTAATGATTCCTTTTAAAGATAATAACTGTTATGAAAGAGAGATGCTATCAGGTATGAGCAAAACATCATGTGACAACTGTATGAATCTCACAGTTGTTTGTTGTTGGGGTCACCAGCTCAGAAATCAAATAAGCACTGCCCCCTCTCCAACACGCACGTGCGCGCATGCACGGCCACACACATTTTAAAGGAATTAACTTCATTTTCAGGGCAGGCGGCACCTATCAAGTTAAAAGTCTTGTCTGCGAGGGGTGTTTGCAATGCCACGTCCTTTTTTCGGTTACTGATTTTATTGAACATGTGACTGAATTAGAAGCTCACATGGCTGCGGTGGCTGTATGATCCGCTTTAGTTTTTTAAAGTCCGGTGATCGGTAGCTCCCCTCGGCAGCGACCATCCAGAGCAGAGGACCGCTGAAAAACACAGCGCCTACCCGGACAAATCATGGCGAACAGCGGGCAGAAAGTTGTGCTGATCACCGGCTGCTCCTCCGGCATCGGGTTACGAATCGCCGTCACGCTGGCCAAAGATGAAAAGAAGCGTTACCATGGTAAATGCGCTTTCTTCTACATTGTTTTCTTTGATCGGACCTATTAGTAGCAAGCCTATAATAGCCTAGTGTGGTTCGCTTGAAAACCTATTCCGTGTTTACTTTTCCCTGCAACGCTCTACTGTTGCACCAACCCTCCTTTACGCACAAAGTTCGGTTGAGTTTCATGCGCAACTCTTCGTCTTAACGCAAAGAAGTGATTTGGTGTGGTGGCCACTGGAATAGCTAAACCTAGTGATATCGGATCCATATCCTTTTGTAAAGAGTGGGATTCAGTCGCCCCATTTGGTTTAACAATTATCATCTGAAAGCGCAGTTTCCAGGGTAGGGCTCTGCAAGGATGCCGCTTTCCAGGCGGAATCATAAAAGGAGTCTTGTCAGTTCTCTTTCAAGTGACTTCTCCAGCACAAAGCCCCCTTTTATCGCAGTGAATTGTAGACCGCCTGCTCCGGTTTAGTGCCGTGTCTAATGTGCCTATAGTTCCCTCACTGGAGCGAGTGTTGAAAGGGGGACAAAGTTTGAGACCTGTACAAGCGAGGGTTCACTCTAAAGCAAGGGCCTTGTTTGAAGTCTTCATTGGTGCACAGTGGAGTTAGGGTGTCCCACTTTGACATTGTTGGTCTGTGCGTCTCCTCTCCTGCTTCCCAGCCATCATTAATGTCACTCCAGGAATGGAAGATCCAAAACCTTTCCGTGTCATGGAGCTTCAGACAGAATTACATTCACCCACCTTCCCACCCCCACAGCCCCTGTTGGTAAGAGTTGGCCCTCAAGACCCCCTCCCCTTGTTGTTAGATGTGACTCTATGGAGTTTAATTGGCTGTTGGCCTACAGTCAGTGAGCTCACAGTGAAACCTATGATTTTAATAGTGTAAAATAGTAAACTCAAGTTAGCCAAGCTGCTCCGTTTTGCCACTGTAGCCATCAAGGGGGCATCGGGATCTGATGGGATTTATAACTGTGAAATAGATGAGAAAAGAAAAAGTGATTAACAGCTCCCATAATACTGGTTTAAGCAGATTTTTTTTTTCCACAATGTGACCTGATTTTACTAATGCCACCTGTGAGCAATGAAGCTGATCTGCTCTTTTCTCAGGGTCTGTAGGAAATCCAACAGAGATTAAATATTGCATTGTGCATAAAGTAATAATTAGTCACAGTAGCATGCCCCAAACTCAAGAGAAACTCCCCCGAAAGACTTCTCTGTGTGCGCAATGCAATGTGGTTCATTTAAGAATGTTTAAGCAGCCCAAGAGTAATTCCTGCAGGAGCCAGAAGAACAATGGAACTCTTGTTCACTTCTCAACCAACACATAAATATCTTTGTTGCTTCATGGACACACAGTTATCGAATCATAAGATTAGACTTAATTATGAGACCCCATTAAGTATGTACTTACAAAGACAAGTTGCATTACACAAACAAAGCAACATTCTCAAAAAATGCACCTAGTTTCATTATTAGACATTGTGAAATTTTACATCAGTAACACTGCAAGGCAATGCAAACCTCCCACAGCACAGCAAAACCTCTTTTAATCTTACTTATCCAACCTTGTCTCTGTTCAGACAAGAATCAGGTGAGGGTTTGCTCTTATCTGCCGAGGGCAACAGGTAGATTCAGATGAATGTGCGAGGAAGAGGTTGTTTACTCCCACAGATTGCTATTGTGCAACAGCACTGTCTCTCTTTTCTCTGCTAGATAATGTCAGTCAGCAGAGTGTTAGCACAACACACAACATGGAGGAAGCCAAGTCAACACTGAGCTGATAGCTGCTGTCACTGTCCATGATAGATTCCTGTGCTGTATGTGGGTTAATGTGGCCCAGCGTGTAAAGTTCAGAGGAAATCAATTCTATGTTGTGTAAACTGACTGGCGTGGTCATTACTGGGAACTCTGACCCACACGCCTGGCTCTGTCACAACTCCGTGTTTGTCTGTGTTCGTGTTAAGGAAGTCGTTAAGTGGTGCCTCATAGATCAGAGGTTTCCTGTGCGTCACCTCATCATTGGGACAATGGGTTAAGAGTTGTTGGGTTTTTTGACAACAGAAAGTAATGATTCATGATTTTAAAAACAAATGGACAAAAATTGACTCCAACAAAAAGTCATCTTGATACTGATCATTTGGAGCGCTCTGGTTCCAAGTTTGGCTACTGTGCAACTCTAACGCACCATTTTCCAATATTTTGTAAAGTCTGAAGCCACATTATACAAGTAAAATAATATTTTCCACTTCTCCATCTCTCTCTATCAGTCATTGCCACCATGCGGGACCTGAAGAAGAAGGACAAACTGGTGGAGGCAGCAGGAGATGCATATGGCAAGACCTTGATGCTGCTTCCACTAGACGTGTGCAGTGACGAGTCAGTCAAGCAGTGCATCAACAACGTCAAGGACCGCCATATTGATATCCTGAGTGAGTGGAACACACCTGGAACTAGGCCTTCTTTGACACCTTCCCCAGCTTTGAATACACATGATCTTTCCACTGTATGTGGAAGAACATATGTGTGTGCATATATTTTGTTTCTTTAAAGATATATTTTTTGGGGGCATTTTGCCTTTAATGGACAGGACAGGGAAGCGTGGGGGCGGGGGGAGAGAGGGAGGGGGGGGTGACATGCAGCAAGGGGCCACAGGCTGGATTTGAACCCGGGCTGCTGCAGCAACAGCCTTGTACATGGGGCACCTGCTCTACCACTAAGCCACTGATGCCCCATTTTGTTTCTTTTATTATTTATTTATAAATAATAACAGTTGATAACTAGTTTTAGTATAATGCATAATGTATTACATGACCCTGATCAGGCCTACCTGGCACAGGCCTAGTGACCCTATTGGCCTTCACCTGCAAAATCTAAGTTGAAGAGACACATACCGACCAAGTAGAGACTCAAAATAACCACAAAGAGACACAAAACAACTACAAAGAGACACAAAACAACTATAAAGTGACACAAAACGACTACAAAGTGTTACAAAATGACTACAAAGTGACACAAATCGACTACAAAGAGACACAAAACAACCACAAAGTGACACAAAACGACTACAAAGTGACACAAAGAGAAACAAAACAACTACAAAGTGACACAAAACGACTACAAAGTGACACAGAACAACTACAAAGTGATGCAGAGAGACACAAAGAGACTACAAAGTGACACAGAGACACAAAATGACTACACAGTGACACAAGATGACTGCAAAGTGATGCAAAGAGACACAAAATGACTACAAAGTGACACAAAATGACTACAAAGTGACACAAAGAGACTACAAAATGACACAAAGAGACACAAAATGACTACAAAGTGACACAGAGACTACAGAGTGACACAAAGAGACACAAAATGACTACAAAGTGACACAAAATGACTACAAAGTGACACAAAGAGACTACAAAGTGACACAAAGAGACTACATAGTGACACAAAGAGACACAAAATGACTACAAAGTAACACAAGACAACTACAAAGTGATGCAAAGAGACACAAAACGACTACAAAGTGACACAAAACGACTACTAAGTGACACAAAATGACTACGAAGTGACGCAAAGAGACACAAAATGATTTCAAAGTGACACAGAGACACAAAACAACTACAAAGTAACACTAAAAGACACAAAATGACTACAAAGTGACACAAAAACATACAAAACAACTACACAGAGATGCAAAACAGCTGCAAAAAACACAGACTCAAAATGACTATGAAAAGGGGGCAAACAACCACAAAGACTGACAAAATGACCACAAAGAGACACAAAATTACCACATACTTGCAAAGCAACTACAAACAGATGCAAAATGACCACACGGAGACTACAAAGAGAGACAGTGTAACTACAGTATAGGGCAAATCAACCAGAGGCACAACACTAAGAGACACAGAATGACCTTAAAGACACACAGAACCACGGAGAGATGCGTTATGTCTACAAAGAGGCTAAACAACAATACAGTCTGTGTGATTGTGGAGCCTACGTCAGGTCCTTGCCCAGGGACCCACTGCCTTATAATCCACCCATGGACCTTACTCAGTTTCTTATAGTGATTCCCAAATAGACAGAACACTAACCCTGACCCTTCCAGTGACAGTCACGTGTTTTTAACACCAACAGTAATGTCATACTATTCTGAGAGAGACTAAAAGTACACATCTATCAGCTCTGTCAGTAGGAGTAAAAGCAAACAGTCACAGTACAGTGTCATTTCTGAAATAATATCAAGACTTTAGGACAAAGTTTTTGAAGCAACTGAAATGTTTTTGGTGGTCAGTCTCATGTAGCACTTTCCTCCGTGGTTTAGCAGTTGACATAAAGAGTAGGTGGGGGGAGGAGATTGGAAGAGTCTTGAAATTCCAGTGGGCAGATAGATTCTGTACCAAAACAGAAAGGACCACCACACTGATATCCTGAGTGTGTAAAATATAGCTTGAGCTGAGTCTGCAGCTCTGTCTGCCCATGCCACTTTCTATTGCTTGTTCCTTAAAGCTAAAACAAAGCAGACAATGTATTTTGAAACCCAGAAATCCCAGCAGTATATTAGTAAATGGGACCTTGGTGTGGATCAATCACTCCATCAATCACTAAAACCTTATAAAAAGTGATATTATGGAAATTTGGTTAATTGAATGTTGCTAGTTTAGTTACTTGTGAATAGGTGACTCTTATCAGTTCTTTGTGTTTAAATCTTTAGTCTGGATAAAGGCTCTATTTATAAACCTGCCTCCATCTCACTCTAAATCCAAGTTACATCCCTCTTCACCTAATAACTCAAGACCAAGAGGCCCTTCAACATGGACTGCTGTTACATCACACCTCTGTGTTATTGTCACACACTGACATCTGGTGGCAATATCCAGTAGTATCATCTGCAAACACGGGTTCTAACAATACAGCTATACGTCATATTAAATCAACAATATCTAAACTGTTTCTCTAGTGGCAATCTTGGAAATATAAGCCACGTGTCATCTCTGCATCTGTGTGTTTCCTGTCAGTCAACAATGCAGGTGTGGGCCTGCTGGGACCCCTGGAGAGCATCAGCATCGAGGAGATGAAAAGAGTATTTGAGACCAACTTCTTTGGCGTCGTTCGCATGATCAAGGAAGTGATGCCAGACATGAAAAAGAGGCGCTCCGGACACATCTTGGTTATGAGCAGTGTTATGGGGCTTCAGGGTATGATCTGTGAGGATTTAACAATGCAAAAAAAAATCTGTAATCCAATTAAATCTGATCCAAGAACACAGGCGAAGATACTTACAACTCTAAACAACTATAAGAAAAATACTTGTTTTTAAGACTTTTGTAGACAGAAGAATTCAGAAATTGTAAACTAGCTAATGAAACTGCAGCATCACACTGTCATAAAAGTGCTATTGATATAATGCTGACATATTTAGCTTGTCTAAAGCTTGGCTGAAAAGCAGGATAATTCAATTGTAAATGTCTGCAAGCTGCAAGATTTCATTTTTTTTGGACAGACCAGTAGAAATCTGACATCTTGAGAATCTGTATAATTATATTGAGCTGTAAATCATGCAATGTGTTCTGTGCTTTAGGATCTATTAAATCAGAAATCAGTTTATAATACCATGCAAACCAATTTCAGTAACTTACCAAACTTGAAACATTACATCACAGAAGCACTTTTTGAATGCTGAATGAAAACACTGTAGCTGGTTTTATTTGTTGTACTCATTGTTGTAGTTTTTATTAGGTTTTCTTTTAAAGAACACAGATAAATAAAGGTGTTATACATATGCCATCTGGACACAAAACTCACACTTGTAAATCATAAACTTATCCAAAAAACACATAAATTAAGAAGAAATAAAAATGAAAATATGCGTACACACATCTAATTTTAATTTACTACTTGATGTAATAGAACATCATTCAAATTTGATTGGTCAAAACATTCAGGCACAATTACCAGTCTGTGTCCTCGGCAGCCTGGATGTCAATATTTGATGTTTTTCTTTTATGTATATATTAAAATTCTGAAACTTGATTTGTGAACATAAAAAATATATGTTCATATTCAGCTTTTGAAATTGCAAATGATGAAATATCAGATTTCATTTCAAAGAGGTGAGAACAAATACATTTAGATACATGGTTTTCAAAGTAAAATATTACAGTGCTTTGAATCCAGTGGTGTTTTAATCAATGTTAAGTATTCAGTGGCTTTAAAATTCAAATGCTTATGTCTCTTACTTGCTTTCATAGAGTGCCAAATGGGTGGAGTTTACCAGAACAAGTTAAAGACTGTCTGAGAAGTTGATAACGCTTGTATTGTTCAATGTGATCAATATCTGTTACTTGGTTGATTTCAATATCTTAGGCCTTTATGTGTAAACGATGTTTAATTCACATCTGCTTTTAACTGAGTACTGTGATATTTGATAACACAATGAAGTGACGCTGTGCTTTATCTCTCTCTTTTGTTGGTTCAGGAGTGGTGTTCAATGATGTTTACACTGCCTCTAAGTTTGCCATGGAAGGCTTCTGTGAGAGTATGGCCGTGCAACTGATGAAGTTCAATATCCGGTAGATTACCCTCTTTCCTTTGTTCTTCCTCCACGTTTGTCTTTGCTTTGTACCACACATACTCCCTCACTGACCTTTTCCACGTCTGACTTCCCGCACAGGTTGTCCATGATTGAGCCTGGCCCAGTGCACACTGAGTTTGAGACAAAGATGATGGAGGATGTGGCCAAGATGGAGTATCCAGGAGTAGACGCCGACACAGTTCGTTATTTTAAAGACGTTTACCTGCCATCATCCATAGATATATTTGAAGCCATGGGCCAGACGCCAGAGGACATAGCCAAAGTAAGGGAATAGAATCATTTTTTTGTGTCTGATCCCTAACTGGTACAAACATTGAGTCACCCTACAAAGCAATGACTTCCTGTTGTTTCTCTCCAGTGCACTAAAAAGGTTATTGAGTCAAGCAGCCCTCGCTTCAGGAATCTGACCAACAGCCTCTACACTCCCATTGTGGCCTTAAAATACGCAGATGAGACTGGTGGCCTGTCTGTCAACACCTTCTACAACCTACTATTCAATTTCGGCCCTCTCATGCACATCACCATGAGCATCCTCAAGTGCCTGACATGCAGCTGCCTGCGCAGACGCACCATCTCACCTAACTGAAGAGGGCGTCCAATCCTGCCCTTACCCCTCCCAGTTTGTTGAACCCCACCCAGTTCCTACTGCATTTTTCCTGAGGTTTTGGGCCTAAGCAGGTAGTCTAGAGCCAGTAACCCCGAAGAGAGGAGGTGCCTTTTAGTTCAAAGACACTACCATGATAAGCTTTGCCAGACAACATGCACAGTTGCACAAGTTTGTCTCAGAGATGTTGAATGCAGGATGACCTCATGTACTCACATGTAAACACAGACAACACACACATTGGATTATTGTACATACATACTATAAAGCTAAGGCCTCGCCTTAGCCAGATATAGCTCGGTTATATAGAGGTTAGATGTCTATATCGTTTTAATGAGAACTTACAGACAGGACATGAGATACGAGCCCCATGGACAGAAATCAAAGCACAAACTCAGTTACACAGAGAGACAATTAAAATATAGAGAAATTATAATGCTATAACTTGTAGCCTAGATGATTATACATTCAGGCTCACCAGAGTTATAACATGTATGACAGAGACAGAAAGAATATATCTGCTTTATTGTGATGTGCCCTTAATTTCATGTTTGCCTGAGCATAGTGTTCTCATGGTCATAACTGCTGTTAAATCATATTTTTAATCTTTTGATAAACTGAATGTTTTTCAAGGTTTGTGAAGGGGTGGGTCAGATATTTTTAATCTAGCATCTTGATTTAAAAATAAACAGAATTCTGATTTACTCTTATGAGTTTTTTTTAATGACATCAATAAGAAAATGTGACCACTTTGCATAATATGTGTTTTTGATACTACTGTAAAAGTTCTGCAAGGGGTTTTCTCTCTGTCTGCAAGACTCTTTTGGCATCAAGAGGGGGCAGTATTTTACTGTTTTTTTCCCCTGTCCACCAACCTGTGGATTACACAGGATCATCAGTGAGCAGAGCTCGAGCTGGAGTATAAAGGAATTTGGCCTTGTTGGCCTGAGAGGCGCAATATAATTGAGTAGTTAAAATCTCGCATAGCCTACACCGGCCATTGTGTTCCTTATTAACATATTTGTTTCATACAATGGATTTGTAATATCACATGCTTCATAATGCAGTAGATCAGTATCATTTAATCAGATCCACAATCAAAACATAACTGTAATCACACATTCCATGACCAAAAAGGAGCAGAAAGAAGAAAAAAAATCTTATTTTGCCTGCCCCTGTATCTGTCAATTACAGTTACTTACTGTAACAACCAAGAAAAAGAAGCTATACACAATAACTGACCATGAACTAGTGTGACAGATTACCTGACAACTTCATATATTCTTTTTTTATACATTTTCTTGAACTGAAAAAAAAAATTCATACAACCTTTTAAATTATTCTGTGGAGAATTCCACAGTTTGACACCACGTACACATCTGCTTGAAAGTAGTCTGTGCACATTGATGCTTGAAGTGAAATTTCCTTACATGGTCCTGATAGTCAGCATCAATCCATACTGATAATTTGGGATGGTTAATTTGAAAACACAGATATTCCTTAGTGGTCGGCACTGAGCAAATGTTTCATGTAAAAAAAATGCATCTCGGCCAACAGAGATTTTAAGCTGTCTCGTTCAGGTGAGGACACATGGTGCCTCTTGCAGAGCACAGACTTGTTTTTGCATATGCATCTGTGTGTTTCTGTCTGTGCACATACGCAAACACATTAGCATGTGTTTGCATGCATGCGTGTGTGTGTGTGTGTGCGTATGTGAAAGTGTTGTATGAGCATGTCTATGGGCCAAGTTAGTGATCTGTTGATGGATATAAAGAGGTCATGGCCTGTTCCCCATCAAAACCCCTCCCTTGAACCCCCACCTCTCACACATACACACACACACACACACACACACACACCCTGCTTTGTGCCGTGTGAGAGAATGTGACCTGGTTCCCATCCCTGAGGAGGGGTGAACCCTAATGACGGCCTCCTCAGACACATTGCGCAGCCCGGAGCCTCCATCTCCAGCTGGCCCCCTCAGCCTGTAGGGCCAGGACCCCCTGGTCCACACTGGGAGATGCCTGCACTCTGGCCTGGTTTGTCCCGTCTACACACACACACCGTCCCATCCCATCCTGCCAGACTTGGCTGAGCCCAGGCTGGTTACACTCACTGATTGCATGGAGCTCATTATCAAAGGACAGTGCAACTGGTTGCAGACCTGTAGTTTCTGCACAGTGTACAATGAGTGCAGTGCCTCGGCTCTGTGTATGTGTCTTCATCAGAGGCGACAGCTCCGCACAATGGAACAAAGACGCTGTCAATCACAATCAAATGGGTGTGTGTGCAGGGGGAAGGTGGAGGGGAAGGGGGGTAGGAGGTTGGGGGAGGAGTCTGTGTGTCTTGAATGTTCAGGGGGATGCCAAGACCCAATGTAGGACGCTGAAGGCTAAGGGCAGGGGGTGGGTGGGGGTGTTTCGAGGGGGGGCAGCAAGGGGTGGGGGTGTGTTGCATTTGGGGAGATGAGAATTGGGGTGCCCAGGCCTGAATGGAAGACCTGTTTACTAATTGAATGAACACAGGAGTTACAGAAAAGTCTCATTAAACAAGAGGTCTTATCAAACCATTGTTGTATATCTTTGTTTCACAATCAAGAATGTAATTGCAGTATAATGAGGGCAGCGTGACATGGTTAGGTCTTCCCTTAATTGTAACCCTGTCACAATTACTGAGCCACTAAACATGCACAGGCTCTGCCTTTATGTACCCTTGCTGTGTGCTGACAAATAAGCCACTTGCATTTTTAGGCAGTGAACATGAGTAGAGAGAAGGAAAAAAGGGGGAACCTCAAAAGTTATCTTTGGCATGTTTGTAGGATACATTCTTTGAAATCTGTCTGCCTCCCCTGGTGCCGCTGGTTCATTGCTAGTTCAGCACTTTTACCGCATCCTCCTTTCACTGTCATCATCACCAGAAAACCACACCTAAGCTTGACTCAGAGAGTGATGATGAGACAGACTAAGGAGTCAGGGATCAAACATCGAAGGGAGCTGCGGAGGTCAGAAAATTATGAGAACTGAATTGTGAAAATGGGAAAGAAAAGCAAAGTGTGATGCAGAGGACGCAAAAGAAAGAAAGAGGTCTGGGTGCTGTGAGATGCTGGCATTAAGTGGCGCTTATGTCTAGACAGGGTGCTTCAGGCTGATCCCAGGTCAGGATGGATCAAGATTAGGCTCCACTTGTCTGTTTCTGTCATCCTCACTATGAAGGATCCATCCTGAGTAATGCTGAATAGCGTGACAGAGCTGCCATACGACTTGATCTGTGGATCAGGAATATATTCAAGGCATAACAAGACAGATGAAAGCTGAAGAAAAGGTGGAGGTCAGCCAACATTTAACATGGCTTTATGTGATGTAGCCACTTGGGACGTATCAATATCCATAAAGCTGATCTGGGGTCTGAGGGGAGCTATCAATCTTTATATAGTCAAAACAGGAGAAGCCCAAGTTGCCCTGTGGCTGGCCTGTGGCAGCCAGGTCCATTAGGGCAGCAGAGGCCACAGGGAGAAACAAACACACAACGTCTATCTCTCCTTCTCTGTCCATTCCCTTTCTCCTCCCTTCTCACTCACTCTCTGAGGCCCACTGTCTGTCTGCCCTCTCCTCTGTCCATCTCCATAACTCCGCTGTGCAGTGACCTCTCACGGACCCAACGTGGGTCACTTGTTTATTCACACACGGAGAGGGGGGGGTCATCATCTCTCTCTTTCTGAGTAGAGCTGCTTGTTTGGACTCAGGATCGTTCGGAGGTCAGAACATAAATCAAAAAGAATCTTGACTCTAGCTGGCCAGTCATACACATTGTTTTACAGACACAGAACCGCTATTGTCGCTATCATTACAGCATTAGCGTTGTCCCCTTTCCCTACTGCTCTTCCCGAGCATAAACAATCCAGCAGGAATTTCCAGACTGCAGTTTGCCCACTACCGTATCGTTTTGTTCCGCTCCGTTCACTCTCTCAAAACTACCAGTTCCAATGACTGTGAAACTCCGTGATTAGAGGGTTCATTCTGTGTACAAGCATTATAATTGTCAAGCAAGGGGATGGTGGTTGATTGTGCTGGGCTTAGAGATGATGTAACCTGAGCTGGGGTAACACCATGCTCTTGTGTTTGTTGTGGACAATGAGTTAAGATTGGTGTAATATGTCACAAGGGGAGTCTGACGGGTAAACCGCTGATGTAGATGCACAGATTTTGTGTGTCTAAAATGGAAAAAAGCAGATAAACAAATGAGAAACTCGAACAAACAAATTACACTTTTCTCACCATCCTGTGCACTGACATTTCTTCCTGTAACATATCATCTTTCTTTGGGTTTCTAACCTCTTCCACCATGGCTCAGTTGTTTCTCTCATTCAATGGTGTAATTAGACGTCTGGGAATCTAGCATATGCTTTTCTGGTTCGACCGACACCAAGGAGGGAATATTTTCATTCAAGGGATGATTATCCTTTTAATTTGTTTCCCAAGGATGGCTGTGTTTTTCTCTTATGCCTCTGGCAGCGCCTGAGTGAGTTTAGTGAGTGTTTATGCGGATGTGTGTATGAGTCAGACAGACAAACACTGAGAGGAACGATGACAGACAGACAGACAAACAGTCAGATAGATAGATAGATAGATAGATAGATAGATAGATAGATAGATAGATACTAGTAAAGTCACAGAGACAGTTAGTCTTTGTGTGACAGACAGTGACTTCATCAAAGAGTCTATCAGTATTGAAGTTTGTCCTTGCCTGGCAACCCTGGCTGCATCCCAAACTTACTTCCCTGCCAGAGAGAAAACCTCGCTCTGGACCCCATCAGCACTGCCATGGATCTGATCTATTCACTGTCTCCAACCATAAAGATGAGAAACCAAACAGGGTGCGGGCACACCCATGCCAGGAAGCCTGTCTTAGCCCAAAAGAGCCCACATCATTGTTTATTCAGCTTGAGTGCATCATATCTTGGCAGCCAGGGTGAGAGTGAATAGACGTTACAAATTTTTACTCCATCAGAACGTCATGATAACATAGCTTCAAGTAGGGGCTTGCTTAAGCGCAAGGAGTGATGAAAATGGCTCTTGTAAACACTTTCATGCCCCCAAACTCCACAACCAGTACACATTTTGTTCAAGTTTGATTCAAGAGCGGATGAACAGTAAACTTTGTGCTGCATTCATGGATCCACCGGGGCTGATTTTTTTTTCCTTCATCAAAACAAAAGAATGCCTCTGTCTATTGACCGTGAAAAGATGTTCGTAGATTTGTCCCCAGTGAAGAGATGTCTTTGTTGGTTATCTCCATTGGTGAGCCGCCTCCATTTGGCTAGGCCTAATCAGAACACAAACACGCCTCTGTCATTTGGCTGCTCTCCCTCTCACCCTCCATCCCTCCCTCTCTCTCAGGCCGTCTCTTATTAACTAACACTGCAAATTAGATTCTATTTTCTCCCTCCTCAATTCATTTTCACTTCTGTGTTTTAGATCCCCTCTCCCCAAATGCTTATTTATTAGTGTGTGTGTGCATGTGCAGTAGAAAGAAAAATCACACCACACTGTAAATCTCTCTGGCCCTCTTCCTCCCACCTTGGCCTCTGATTTGTTTTCTCCCTTTCATCTTCCTTCTATCTAATCTACTCATCTAGATGGTGTGTCTCTCTCTCCCTGAGGCACTGACACCGAGGCCTGGCATACATTAACTCTGCTTGTCTGTG